CGATAGAGATGTGGTGGGGGGGGGGGGGGGGGCTAAGCTGATCTTTGGGACTGCAATGTGGCAATGGATCTCTCATTAAGTGCCTTGTTATTTTGAGCAGCTGGCAAGTCTAAAGCAGGAAACGGCGCTTTATTTTTAAGATGCCTGCTCGTCCTTGCCGCTGAGCCAGATTTCAGACTCGAAGGCTATCTGTTAACAAAGAGAACTGACCCAAATCACCATGCTGGAGCCAGCAATCTTGCTGTCTCCCGTTTGGCCGTCAACAAATAACAACAGACAAAACCCCATGCATGAAGTATTAATAGCAACAATAATGATGGACATTCAGAAGTTATCGTCCTCGAAAAGTGATAGCAAAGTCCTCTGCAAAGATGTCACTTTCTTTGCAGAAAACATTATTTGGATCCTAATAAATCACCGGAACTTAATTACATTGATGCCATGAGCAACAGCTAGAAGAGCATCCACAAGGCTCCCTCCTCATATACACACAAACAAAAATGCAGAACAACAGATGGATTATATAACCTATTAGTTCACGTTTCATCTATCATGAGTACTCTGATTGTTGTTGTGTATGTGTGTCACGAGCGCTTCAAACACATTCTGAGGGGACATGAAGGTAGACGAGCCACACAAGGGTACTTGTAAAATAGGCTATCATTGTCTGCAAGGTTCCTATTGAAGTGGATTTGGATTTGCACTCAGCTAATTAGTTTCCTGGTTTGAGAGCCCATAGCTTTTGTCGGATGTCACTGACACACATCCTTTTATTTACGTGATCTAGTTTGAATGAAATAGCATTTTATATACATACGTCTGGCTGTTTGCTTTAGAGAACAGATTTCCGTTAACTTAAATTCAGAGCACATGACCCTGAATTCAGTATTGAGACGATAGAGACCTGTTCAGAAACACCTCATGAATGACTGCATATTTGTCTCTGTGTCAAGCGATTTACCATAAAAGAGAGAACAAATACAACAGGCAAAGGACTTTCACTATTAATATATGTTCCAAGGCACTGTTATATCAGGAGCATGCCAAGATGGAATGATAATGCACAGACGCCTAATCTTGGCAGGCTAATGCCATAAGCCGAAAATAACTCACCTAAGAATAGCTGACCCACAGAATAAGCAAGGAGGTTGAATTCAGGCGTTCTGTGTAGCCGTTGTTTGCCACACAGGCCTCGCACAGAGAGGACAAGACGTGTGACATGATTTATTGACAGATGGAATGTGTCATCCTCCTGTCTTCTTTCTAAATTCGTGTGGCCCGCTGCCTCTCGGGGGTTTGCCTGCAGTCAAAGTCATGCTTGTTTTTTAAGACCCAAATTCACAGTGACCATTAAAACAAAATTATGCCGAAACTTATTTGCCTCCCACCTAAATTCGCATAATCTATTCTAGGTTACAGTATATAAAAATCAAGATCTCAACTGAATTTAATTGCACTTTGTCGGGAAGCACCTGTGTCACTTTTGACGATCGACAAGTAAGCCTTTCACAATCGCGAAATGCGCATGACAAAGTGAGTCCTGAATCAACCTCAGTCCATTCACTGCAGTCATTCTCATCTGAGTCATCCATGTACATTTCCATTTTATGTGAAGCCAAAAATAGAACAGACAAAATCTGTGGTTAATGCCCCCGAGAGAAACCTTGAAATTGTCCCTTCAGCATTACCATCACACGTTTTCCACTTCCCTAAAAAAGTACACGAAAACAACATCCCCTTCATCATCTCAGTGATTCATTTTGGCCGGCAAGACCTTGGCAAAAGGGGCAGCGCACTTCCTATTGGTATTGTTCCGATTAGAACATTCACGGCGACTTTTCGGTTGCTTGTTCAACACACAGCAGTGCGACCGATGAACGAAACGCAGCGCGGTACAGTATACGGCATTTATGAGAGCAAATACCTCGATTCAGGAAGAAGTGCCTGATCCTACCACGAAGCCCAGCTGAGTTCTTCGCACAGAGAAAGAGAAACTAGCTGGGCGCAGAGTTGCGAGTAAGAGGGAGCGAGAGAGTGGGAGAGAAGCAAGTACACCGATGACGGACGAGCGTGTGAGATGCGAAGCTGGAATGCGCGAGCAGTAAAAAGAAAGAAAAAAAAATAGAAAGAAAAGCTGACATTGCCGAGGTGGACGAACCAGAAAGGCTGTGCGCTTGCGATCACCTGAGCTATTCACGTTGTGCATCCTGCTGTGATTGGGGAGCGGCTGGGCTCCAACGTGGCCGTCTGTTGTGGAGAAACTTGACTCGCCCTCGTAAATCGTCTGCAGCATACTCCACTTAGCACTCGGGTCTCATCGCACGCCGTCACCAAGAGAGCCACCCCTTCGGCCACCCGGGGGAGCGAGCGCCACAACAGCCTGCCTCCGCCTCCTCCTCCGAGGCAACCACTCTCACTGCAAAGCGTGCACACTCTCTGCTGGGCGGTTTGCCTTCAGCCGGCACCCAAACACTAACACAGTGTCAACCTCCCTGCCTATGCCTGCCTTCTCTTCTCAGTAACGTGTCGGAGGAGAGCCTGCAAATGTTAAGCAGAGTTGCTTGGCAAAGTCGTGCGTACTGCGGACTGAGCACCTCACGCAGGCTGCGATGCAAGCTGGGGAGGGAGTGAGCCTCATTTGCATGTGAATCAACAACTGCGTGGCCCACAGGTGACAGAAATAGAACAATAGCCAGCCCTGGCTAAAAATAGGTCAGGAGAGGCGCGGGGATTGGAGCAGCATTGATGCGTTTAAAAATACCACACCAAACACAGCTGTCTTCTACAGCTCCTGCCAGAAGGCATGTCTCCTGACTCCCTCTCTGCAGATGGAGTCTTGATCTCCCCTCCCTTTCTCTGAGTTGTGGAGCAAGTCTCTCATTCTCTATTTGCGTCTTCATTTTGTTCTCACAGGTGGACGAGCAGAAAGATCCCTTCCTACATTGATGTATTTGTCAAACGATTCATAAAAGTGCTTCTTTCATGTGATTCACAAAAATGTAGATTCTATATTTAAATATCTCCTGCTGCAATCGACCACAAAGGCGTGCTGAAAGGTGCTTTCCCAGCCCTTCTTCACTTTCTCTGGGACAAACCAGTTGTGTTTCCCAGAGTAGAAACCACAAGCGAGCCAAAATGTGTCAAGATAACCCATGTGAGATATCTTTCTTTCTGCTACTGGTGGCAAAAACAGGAAGAACGTTTGTTTGTTTGTTTTTTTACAAGAAATAGCCGGTGAACCACTTATCGTGTCGTGTCAAATCAAATCTGAATGGTTAATTTACCATGGGAACAGATTGACATTGGACTGCTTTCTCGCAAAGTTCATTTAAGCATACTCCTTGATTCTTCATAAAGCGAATTCAGGTACTGTGATTGCACTTTTTGGAGAAAGGGCACAGTGGCGGTCCATTTTCATTCCTCAAGGTGCAATCAATGCTAATGTACCCCCTTCATGTACTGTAAAGATGTGATGTGATGAAAGTGATACTGTATATGGCTGCGAAGGGTGCTCGTGTGAATAGTCTCCGAATGGGGAAGTCAACACAAAAAAAAGAATCTTTACAATAGTATGTTGTGATACGGCTCACCTGTTTTCTAAAGCTGAGCCATGATTGGTCGTTACCTGAGCACTGAGCAACTGTGATGTCATTTTCAGTCAGCAGCAAGTGGCAAAATGGCCGGCCCCTGATATGACTAAAAACAGGTGGATTTTGCTGCTTAACTCATATTCCATGAATGCAATAATAATCAGAATTCCGCGTTTAGACGAGTGAAGGTGTATTGACCATTTGCTGGAGAACATTTATGGGTTGACTTTCCCATTGAGAGACATAGTACTGTAAACACTTGTACATACACACATAAAAAAAAAAAAAGGGGGGCGCCCCTTGAGATGGACAAAAAAAACGGTGGATTTTACTGCTCAATTAATAATCAATTAAGCAATATGAATCTGAATGTCAGGTTTACACTACTGGGGCTGCATAGAACATATTCTTGTAAACAAAATTTGGGGCTTGACTTTCTCTTTAAAATGGATCCAAACTACATGATTTAAGTGACAGTTCTGTTCTTTTCTCCATGTGGCCCAGTTCAGAAATAAGGCCAAGGCAGTGGAAAAATAACTGATTATCTTCTGATCGGAATTATGCATGGACAAATGATTTCCTAAAATCAGAGATAATTCAGTTATCTGCAAATGCAGCGTAAACACCCAGATTCGGATAAACCCTGTCAGCAAATAAGGCTGAGATCTCCCCAAGTCTGCCGATGAATTACAAATGTGTCAACAATAATTACAACGAAACACGTGTGGTCGAAAAAAAAATCACAGCAAACGCATGGACGATGAAGCGTGAGGACCTAAGACATGCATATACCATTAAATAAGGAAAACACTGCTTGATAGCAGCCAATGAAGTAATTCAGAGGCTACACTGCATTTAAATCAATGAGAAGAGTCATACAAGGGAAAAACAACCTTCTGTAATGTTCTCATTTACAGTATTATTGTTTTGTATGAGTTGTACATTTAAGCGACCACTTTTAAAAATGATATACCCACTCAATTGTAATTGAGCACGGTATAACCCGAGCCTTCGAACCAGCTTTCTACAAGTATGACACCCGACATGATGGGTTCAAGTGGTAGGCCGCATAAACACTGTGTTTATTGAAGACACATTGAAGAGTGTGTGCCTCCTCGCTGTGTCGGCTCAGCGTTTGTATGTGTGGGGTTTAAGTGTGTATTCAGGCCAGCGCTGTTACTCAGGAAGCATGCTTTCAACTTGCCAGGGAAGCCAACTGGAAGATGCCATAACAGCACGACGGCAATTACATAAACCAACTGTGTCAAGAGCATCTCTCATGGTTCACCCCCCCCCCCCCCACCGCCGCTTCCATGCAACAGCCTGTGTAATGTGATCTATAATGTGGGGCTATGAGAAACTGCAAACACATGACTCATTTTTAAAACCTAAACCCTGAGAAAATATACAATTTCATGAGTGTTCTATTAATATGTCTTCCAAAAACGAGCCAGCATCCATTGTTGATATAATGTGACTCCCTCCCATAAAAGTCAAATCAAATCTGACCACTAAGGCAGCTTTGTGGCCAAGCAGCCTGTGCCTTTAAATTTTTCATCTTCCTTCATAATTTGACCTGTCCCCCAGCCAGGGGCGTGGAGCCAGAACAGCTATTTTTAGGTGCTGAGCTCTGACGACTGGCTGCAGACACACGCACACGTGTACGTGCGCGCACAGACGTGCGCACAGACGCAGAAGGACTTTTACTATGTTATTTCAGCTGGACAAACATTAAACCTCATCATCCTTTTATTACAACACAGTAGAGGATGTCAATAAGGGAATGCCCAACTGATGTCTGACATTAATTATGTCGCTTGTGACCCAATTAGCAAGATAAGCACTCAGTGTATTTTTTTTCAATAATTGTAAGAAATTAAAACAAAAAAAAGTCTTCTTCTACTTTCATAGAGTTTTAAATCAGGAGACAGCTTTTCTCACTTAGATTCCACATACTCCTCATTTTCATGAAGTGGTTGGCATTCCCAATGGATAAGATTGTGTGAGAGATAACGAATCCTCAAGTCGTAGGTAATGATGGCTAAAGACTCGGAACTCCATCTGTCGCAGCATCTGTCGGAGCAAAAGTTGTTGACTCCAGCCCCAGAGGCTGACCTCTACAAAAGCCAGGAATAGTTTTTTCAAACGAGGAAGTGAATCCATCACATGAATAATATGAGAATGGACTTGCTATTTATATGAGAGAGAGCAGTCCTGGCTTGTGCTAAAATTAATCTGTTGCAGTACATGTTGCAGAATTACCTGCTTCAATAATGGTCCTCTAACAAACTATTTATGATTTGTCCTAAATAATTATTTCTGTTCTAGTTTGCATGTTACATCTATAAATTGAAGGCAATAGGTCAATAATCAGTTCCTGGTATTAACTTGAAACATATGTTAGTACTGTAGTGATTAACCTAAAATGTTTATTTCTGACTATAGCTTCCTGGGGCTGATGAGGGATTGTGGGCTGGAAATAGCTCCGTCCAATTGCTAGGGCCCCAGTAAACCGGCAATGTGGCGAGACCGTTATAGCTCCAACTGCGTCATCCGTGGCCTTTGTCTACTTTAGTCCTATTAAAGCATTTAAGTGTGAATGTCAGCATCTCGACAGGATAGTCACTCTGTATACTGTCACTGAGTTTGTGTGAGTGTGTGTGTGTGTGTGTGTGTGTGTGTGTGTGTGTGTGTGTGTGTGTGCGTGTGTGCATATATTTGACCAGCTATATTCAAGAAAGTAGGTCTAAAAATGCATTGCAAGTCATAGAAATATGTAATTTGGCCTATAAGTGGAAACTTTATTATATGAATCTTTATGCATCTTGAAAACAATCTTTTCATAAAAATATGCCTGACACTAATACTAATAAGTTAATTGCGTACTGGAAAAATGCAGTGAGTTGACAAAGTGAAAGAAAAAAATTAACGCCTAACATCCGATTGAAATCGTACACTTTGGAACGTAACCATTTTTCGTGAAAAATACAATGCAAAAGTTCCACAAACCATTACAGTTCAAAGCAGCTGCCAACTGATAGAAATTCACTTCCAGACCAATTTAACTGAAAATTATAGCAATGTGTGTGTGTGTGTGTGTGTGTGTGTGTGTGTGTGTGACTTCTAAATTATCCCTCAGTTACTGTACCAGTCCCAAGTCAACAGCCGACTTCTGTGGCTTAATCACCATGGCAGTGCTGCCTTGTGACAACGTGTGCATGATGAAACCCAGCAGGGAGGCAGGCGGGAGAGGGATAAGTGTTGCAAGAAATAAATTAGGAGGACAAACACTGCTCTATATAAATGTGATCTTGACGAAAAATGTGTTGTTCTCTTTTCAGTGCGCACAATCCATTTGTGCGAGGGAGTGAGCATTTCATTGTTCTCTGAACTTCAGGGCTCCTTTAAATTCACACGGGAGAGATAGTCCAGTGACCAAATATACTGTAATATATATTTGATGTTAGTCTGCTTCTGCCTTCATGCTTGTGTGGATGCAGAGTTTCCTCATATCACCCCCTGGGGGCATACAGTGAATAAGGTCATTATCAAGTGCCCATTCCTTTGGTCAGAGGGGACGTATCTCCCAGGAGAGGGCCGGCATGCTGGAGCAGCAACCCCTGATGTAAGAGCCTTTTCCCTGAGGATCTTCTGACACTAGAGGGAAATTAATTCTCCTCCCAAATGACCTTATTGGCCCTGATCTTACTTACATCAGTTCCTCATGAGTCACCATCTTCCAACGGTGGAAGACATTTTCCATTAATTTGGGGGTGAGAGGACAGAGGGTTGCTCGTGTCTCTGCATTCGCTTGTCAGCGCCTTATACCTGTTGAAGTTTGGTAGCTTCAAAACATTTTACATTTACCTCGCGGTCAGCTTCATAAAAGCACAAAGACCCTCCAACTGTTGACGTGATGGTGAAATCCAATTAGCGTGTACATCTGGATGTGTTATGTGAGTGTTTTCTCACAAATGATTTGGGTGCCCTTACTTTTAATTAGGTTACTCTGTCTGGCATCCTGTGGTATTTCCTGCTGGATTTTTTAGGGCGATATAGAATGCACTTAACAGGCTGGATCAAATAACAAGGGAAAAAAAACATTTGAAGGCAGTCATGTTCGTGGCTTCATTCTGAAATGCTGCCAGATAGTTTGTCAACATAGCTAATAATAACACCGTTAATTGGAGGCCAGGTTACACTCTTACAAGAGTGAACA